AATCAGTATCCCATTGAGCATACTAGTGTTATTGAAAAAAAAAAATAATAAAATAATAAAAGAAGCAGTTATGTATTATACTGAGAGAGTAATCATTGTGTTTCTTAACAAATACTCATCCTGTTTTCTAGAACCCCCTTATAAAAATAATTTGAGTAGCTTCTATTAAATTTTTATAAAAACAAAATAGAAATAAAAAAGAAGACTTTATAATTTTATGACTTGTGAAGAGGAAGTAATTAGGAAGGCCTAGATAATATATTAATATCCGCATGAATAACTTGAAAGTTTTTCAATATATCATCAATTAAATCCATTCCTATTTAAATTTTTTTTTTTTTTTGAATGCTGACTCAGCCTTGTTTTATTTGTATTTATGCAGTATTATTACAAAGAAAATTTCTAGAATATACTACCAGTCTATTATCAAACAAAAACTCAATATAGATAACCTCTCTTAGAAGGAACTCACCTTGCGGCTTGTTGCCACCCCTTTAGTGGGGCTAACCTGCCAAGGCTGGGCTAGTGCTAAAATAAATTTCTAAGATATAAAAGTTGTCTATAGAGTCTGTTATCCATTGTGTTATAAATTTATTGTTACGATTTTTATTAGTGATATATCTGTATATTCATATAAGGCAACTGCCTTGGCTCAGCTGCTTATATTACTCTTTTGTACAGGACTCTATATATATGCTAACAAGTACTTATACATCTGCCTATATTAGTAATATATATATATGAGTAGCTATCTATATATTATTAACTATATATAAGCACTACCTCATCGGAAAACTGTGTGATTCCTTCTTAATTCTTCCCAGACCAGTTTTATTAAGAGTAGTCTGGTTATCAGGCCATCGAATTTTCTTTATCCTGGATCCAGTTTTTGATCCTTCGGAGTGGTCCATGGATTTCTTCTCCCACCAAGGCCTTCCGATTGCTAAGTCTATGGGTCAATGCATAGACACATACTTGAAGTCTTGAAATCAGATAAGATCTTCAGTCAGTTCTTCCTCAATGGCATGCAACCGGTTTTAGGGATCTACTCTTTCTTGTTATCAACAGGTGATAACGTGGTTCTATCAGGGATAATCCTACTCGGTTTCGGATAGAGACCTGATCACAATCTTTATATAGGCCATCCTGTATTGTGGAGATTTTGACTTTCAACGTAACACAATGAAAACCATTGATCATCTTGATCTGCACCAGCTATACTCAGAAACATCAGTTATATACGGTTAAGCCAATGGATGATTTACCAGATTCTACCTGCTTTTGGCTCAGGGAAATCACATTAGCCCCCTGGAGAATTTGAACCTGTATCTTGTGATCTGACCTACGGAGTGCTAACCACTGTACTATTGATCCGTAGGTCACCCATTCCTATTTAAATATAGATATACATATCTATTTATATAATGTATTTCAGATTTAATTCTTTAAAGAAGAATTGCACCTAGCCATACAGTTGGTATAACCTACTAGTGACTATTGGTTTAATAATTAACAAGAATCTTTCAGATTATCTGACTAGCTCACACATCACTATTGACATTTTTAGGCTCGAGTTTTAATTGATATGGTAGTATTAACCTTCCAGTCTTCCAGCTTGGAATTTTTTGAAAATAGGATAAAAACTTTTTGATTTAATATGTACACTAACTTTACTACTAAGTGTTACTAGTCATTTTTTTTGCTTTTTTTGATTGGATATTTCTGAGTAATAGAAGTTGAAATCTATTTAACATATAATCAAGAGTAGATAACTTTGATTTTCAAAAAGTTAATTGAGCTCTTGTGACCTTTACCATAGTCAGATGGACTTTTTCTTGTATTCAAGAATGTATCCGTAGCATATCTTCTATCCATTTGTATAACAGATATATAACTTATAATAGATTTCAGGTTTTTATGAAGCTAAGAAAATACATTTAGATATATAAGGTAATCAATAGAAGTTTGTTTATATTTTTTTATTAATATAATTCTACTAAATCAATCAGCTTATAAGAAACCTTATACTACTTAAAATTCAGGATCAAGCTGAAGTAGGTAAAATTTATTAAAAAAGATTGAGAAAGAGTACTATTAGAGTTCACACAATAGAGAAAAGAGTGGAAAGATAGTTCTCTCATCACAAAACAATTTTGTAATATTTTTCTGTATATCAGATAGATAGTGAAATATCAGTTTTTCTTTTTAGAACTTTCTTGTCATTGATAGAAAAGATATTTTTTAGACTTTTAATCACAGAAGTCTAGTTTTTGTTAGAAAAGAAATATAAACAATATAGAGAAAAAGTATAACTGACTTTTGAAATACCCTTCAAGTTGATTTAAGGAAAGAAATAAGACTTTATTAGTCAAGAAATATAGTAACTTCTTATGAATGTCTTTTTTGTATATGGTTAGAGGATCAATGAAAAGAGTTGTACTAACTCTTCTGATATTTTTTATTAATAGTATTTTCTATATTTATATATATTAATATGGTTGTTTTTTTTTTGTTTAAAATTTTTTGTCAAGCTAAGTATACAGTATATACTTTATTAAATATATGTATACTTTATATTGAAAAATATATTACTAAAGTTAAGTCTTTATCTAACTCATATATCTTTATTTTAAAAATTATTAAAACTTTAAGTATAACTTTGAAAGTGATTTATCATTCTATTAATAGTTCAGGTAAAGATCCTTTCAACTGTTAATTTTATTGCCTGTAGGTTATTACTACAAATCACTTTGTGAGGTTCTGACAAAGCTTAAAACCTAACTATTTTATTCTATATTTTACTCTTCTTGTTAAAATTTCTCAAAGGCTTTTATTTTCAAGGTTTTCTTTTTCAGGTAGTAGATCTTTTTTCTTTAGGGGTATATTTTTCTGGCCTGAAAGATATAAAGATTTTTTTGTTTTGTTTTCTCTATCAATTCCTTATATTTATATTTATTCAACTACCTTTTCATATTTTTTGTTTCAAACTTCTTTTTGAACTTGGTTGTAGACTCTTTTTTGTATTTTTATTATTTACTTTCTTACTATTCTATCTATATATTTACCTTGGCATTTTAGGTCTATTATTTCTAGAATAAGATCAGTATAGAAACTTAGTGTATTTTGATAGATTTTAGAAGTCTGTTTCACTACTTTAGATATTCACTTGTTAAACTCTCTTATTTCTTTTCAGTTATTGATGATTAGCCTAGAATTTTTTTCTTTAACTTCTCTTTTTCTTTTTTATGATAGCTCTTTAAAGTTTTTAATAATTATATCTACTCATTTATTATAGACCTCTTATAGCTGATTCTTATAGGCTAAACATTCTAGCAGATGTTTTATAGTTTTATCTTATTAACTATATGCAATATATTTCATTTGCTTGTATAGGTTTAGTCTTCTTATAACCAACTTATTTAGAATAAATAGCTTATTATCAGCCAGTTTAATAAAAAAGTTTCTTTGATAGAATTATTTAAAGAATATATTTCAGTATATCTATCTTTAATTCTTTTTCATATTAGGTTCCATGTGTGAACCCAGTATTCTAAAATCTGATAATTCTATTTTTTCTTTATTCTATTTTGTTGTGTTTACTGATAGACTATTGTTTTATTATTAATATTCTTAATAAACCATCTAATTGAATTATTTAGAGTTGTTCCTTGTCACTTGATTTTAGTAATAATTTTGTATAAAGTGAGGTCTTTCTATTTAATTGGTAAAAATTTTAGAACTTCTTTAACTAAGATATTTATATCTTCATTATAAGAATTATTTGAATATATTTTAAATTTGTGAGCTTTAAATTTATATTTTTCTTTTTTATTAGCTCTAATATGTGTATCCAGAGAAACCAAATTTTTTTTTTGAGTCAACTCTTGTATATCCTTTTTAAATCTTCTTTTTTTTTAAAGATTTTTACTTGAAAATGCATGCTTGATTGTTTGTAAAAATTTCTATTATACTTTCAATTGAAACTATCAGGAATAACTATCAATTCAACTCTTATAGATGAAAATCAATTGTTTACTCTTGTTTAGAATTTATTTTTCTTTTTTTCTTTTTCTATTTGAATTCAAGCTGTTTTTATTTTCATTTCTTTTTTTCCATGATTAATAAGTGATCCATCAGAATAGAAGATTAGTTTTTCTTTAGATTCAAGGTTATGTTAAAGTATATTTATTAGATAATCTTAATATAATCCTTCTCTAATAATATAACTTTCTATGTTATTTAATAAAATTATCTTATTTATTTAAAAATAAAAATAAATAAAATAAATTTTATGTATAAATTTTTTCAAAGAAAATTTTATAATTCCTCAAGTCAAAATTGATTCCTTAATTTTGTAACAAATCTATATCATATTATAAAAAATTTAAAAGATAATTTTATCAATAAAATTATTTACTTTATTATTTATTTTTATGTTCTTGCAATTAAAATAAATTAATATATTATAGTTGTTTTATTAAAAAAGATTATTTCAAATTATTAGTAATAAAATATTAAGTATTGTTAAATGTTTCAATCAGTTCTTTGCTTGTTATAATTTTATTTTCCATAACAATCTTTTCAAGATGTTTTTTTTATACAAGACTAAAAAACTAAGAGCAGTCAAAATACCTGTCTTGTCTCAAATCTCTAGTTTTAAAAAGCTAGGCAATCCATCTATAAAGTGTTTTACTAGAAAATCCGGTGATTTTTTTTGAATTTCTTGACTTTTCTGTCCACATTTCCAAAGGACATTTTGCAAGCAAAGCCTTGTATTACATTCGTGACACTAAAAGATGACGTAACAGAAAAAAAGATCAGATGGCGCAATTTCTAAAAAAAATAAGAAACAATCGTCGTGTTTCACATGATCACACTACCTCATGCGTGCATAAAAATAGTATGATGACATTAAGACATTTTCACGTGACAATAATACAACACGTTGGCAGGTACGCGTCACTCTAAAAATAGTTCGTTTCTTTCACATTAAAAGAGGTATGCCGAGGTTCCATCCGTTTCACGAGGAGTTACTGAAAAAATGGAAATTAAAACTTTCCATCGGTGCAAAATTGTTTTCTAATCCTACGCTGAACGAAGTTTTTAAGGATGATCCGTATATTGAGAATTGGCTGCAAGGATTGCAAGATGGAAAAGGTAAAAGGATGATCGAACTTAACGTAATTTATCATTAATTATGAAAGCGATTATATAATTATATCATGTTCAACCAGGACCTATGTTTAAACACGGAGAAGAATCTGTTGCTCGACCAGTTTTCATATCCTTATCATAGTTAAAGATGCCCAGTCGAATTCTTTGTACATTTATTTACTCCTCGTTCACATTAACCTTGATCCTCGTAATTCATTTGCACCACGTCTCGAGAGACTACATCATTAGCAAGAAAAAACGAAGAAAACGGAATGACGACCGAGGCCACGATATTTCACGTGAGTAATTAAATTTATATAGCATTTATATGGCGACTTTACTTAACGGATGATCTACTTAGAACTTTCTAGGAGTTTGTCAATACACGAAAATACAAACATCCAATCGGATGATGTGATGTTAAGTGAAGGCGAGCAAACGCAATCACCATCACCATTCCAGTCAGAATCATTGAAGATTATCCAGAATGTGAGATTGAAATTCGAGGTGTGCATTCAAACTGGGAATTCCGAAAAGGTTGACGAGGCTTTGTCGGAGTTTAATAGTCTAATGAGACTGCCGCACGCGCAGGTGAATTTATCAAGTTTTACAATTTCGGTTTTCATTTCATTCCTAACTTAACTTTCCCCTCTCATTTTATTTACCAACAGCTTCACAAGATCCTTGAGGACTTGGGTTTAGCGCAACTTAACGAAGAAATTTTGACAATTCTATGTGACGATATTGTACGACACGAAGATATTGCATATCAAAATTACGTAGTATTTTTTAGATACGCGTTTTTGGAAAAGGTTTGTAAAACCTGCGATATTAGTGACCCTCGGACACGATAACGACATCGAATGACGAAATTTATATTAAACATATATGAATAGGTGCGACGGTTAACCTCAAAGCCTTCGCGTAATCTTCTGTCAACCATTACGAACACTGCCAAAGCAAAGGGCAAGCCAATCGTCTACGGATTGCTATTACCTTTGATCACAGAATCTTCTGAGATAGGTATTGAACAAATCTTGAAAGTTATGCTCATTTTTAATACACTATTCTGATGTCCGTGTACAATGATTGACATCTGACTGTTGCAGAAACTCCTCAGCTGGAGGTGATCACTAGAACCATTGACAGCGGATTAGACGAAGATTCTGTTGTGGCACTATTAACGTAGGTATCTTGCAACGTTGCTAAAAAACGACCTTTTGATCCAAACTAAAAAGAGATGCACCGTTTTAGAGAATTATTCTCAAATTCCTATACACCCTCTGCGACAGTTTTACCATCATCCATTCAATCTCTACCTCCCCCGATCCCACAACGTTTAACTCAGTGGACTGACTCGATGATTGAAATAGTATTCACTATTATCAATCAAAACTTTCAGATTGAGTCCTCTCACGCGCTGACAACATCCAACCAAAGTCAATCCATTTTCTCAAAATTATTATTCTATCTCGATTCGAACATCGAAAGATTACCGACACACACAAAACTATGCCAAATATTGATGCTGTTGGTAACCAAGCATGCGAATAGTGTCATGGACAATCTTGATGAGATCAGGGAGATCGCGGAGAAGTCGAAGGCATTTATAAGGAAAGGCATTATAGGAAGAGTTATGTATTTGATTATTAAGAGGGGAAAGAAAGAAGGCAGGAAACATCGTTAGGCTTTTGTGCCTCGGATTCGTATTTCATTAAAGGAACACGAAAATACAATATGGCAGCATTGATGATTCTTGCCAGTTTCAGTGGTCCACTGTAATTGTAAATTCCAAAAAAAGTTTGAACATGCTCTATTCCGGATGATAGGAGATCATTACATGGTTTGTTAATCTCATTAATTACCCGTCAGGTGAATATGTTCATAGTATTTTACTCAATATCTCGTAGTCATATTCTCTGGCTCCTTCCTCACCGAGAACTTTACTCGGAGAAATTTCATCAATTTCGTAGCTAAACAAGTCACCAATGATATCATTAGAAGGTTTACCGCAATATTTTATAACCGGATTGAAACCTCATTTACCCCAGGTGTTCACAATAGAATTTAGATGCTGCAGTATTAGCTGAAATTCAACAATAAACTTGCATTAGGTTGAGGGACATTAATTAATCGATCGATCGATGACAAACAGGCAGATGTGTATTTGATTAATCCTTAAATCACCTTTGAAGGTCGTCAACATGCTCTTCTTCATCTTCCAATGCTTGCCAATTGCTTCCATTGTGTTCATCAGGAATTTTCCTAGTCCTCTTCCTCTTGCCTCTTTGTTCAATTGTATTTCATAGCTGTTGTGTGAAATGCAAAGGTGCCCATTTGCAGCAATGAAAATGTCGCACAATATCGCTGTTCATATTACGACCACATACCAATAAATGACCTCAACTTCTTGATCATCAAGCATGACCTCCTCCCATGTGAATTGAAACATGATAAAACCAATCGGTTTTCCAATCGACTCACTCGATCCCGACTTGTCGACTTGTCTCGCGATGAGGTAGCGTGCACCTGACTCGCGTAATTCCTTCCTCTTTTCAATCGAGCTCCAGCCTATTTTTGAATTTTCATAACTAGGGTTTTGTTTTAAATGTAATATTAATTAGGGATTCTCATCTTTTTTTTCGGTGAAGGTAAGGCAAGGAACTCACTATCTCTTCATGTTTGTTTTTAACAGTTGAAAAGTCCATTCTTTTAATTCACCGGGAAGAGTAGAGATAGAGTAATACTCCACAATGGAGTTAAAGCTTTGGTACAAGTGAAAAAAAGGATTAAGAATAAACTATCGATTTTGAAGATCCCAGAAAAACTCGCGCTTCCTACCTGTCCCGACTGTAACTTATCGAAGGTCCAAGAAAGCCTACGACATTAGTTGCCTTGAGTAACAAAATACGCGTATTAGTCGAAGAATATTTTGTGAGAGACGGTCTTTGAGAGTCTAACCCTGTTTGCTATGCCAACGAGGTTTTCGTCAACTGCCAAATCACCCGACATTCGTAGAATCGTACAGTACGTGTGTATGCGTACGTGCGTAGGAATGCAGAAAACGCATGGTAATGCATGAACGCGTAAATCTATCAGCTGATTCGATTCATCCAATCAACTTTTAACCCGTAAAATGAAAAAATAAAAACTGTTTCGTTCGGTCAGTTGAAGATCATACTTTAATATGCTCGATTTCTTCACTATTCTGACAAAAGGTGGTATAGTCCTTTGGTCGAAAACCTTCGCTCGTATTACGACCTCTCCGATCAACGCTTTAATCAAAGAAGTCTTGATCGAAGAAAGGGCCGGGGCAAATAGTTTTACCAAAGACTCGTATGACTTGAAGTGGACCTTTGCTAATGAACTGGATTTGATTTTTGTGGTAAATGTCCAATAATGTGAGTTATACTTGTTTGTCGATCTAGAGTAAACTTGGTACCTCCAAATTTTGCTTATCAGGCAAGCAACGTTCTGGGAGCCTTTATGTTCTTTATTTAACTTTCTACCTATTACAATAGGTGGCGTATCAGAAAATTCTTCAACTAACTTACATCGAAGAACTCTTGGCCACTATCAAGAAACTTTTTTGCGACAAATTCGCAAACCTAATTCGGAATACCACTAGGATTCACAAGTACTCTTTCGATGACGATTTTAATTCAATTTTACATAATATCGAGGAGAAAGACGCCAGGGTGGGTGATATAAATATATTTATTTGACTTGCCCTGGATTTGACTTTCCATTTTATGGATGCTTTATGAATAAATCGATTGTTATTTTTTTTTTTTCTTTTTTTAGGAACAACAAAATAAGAGATCGAAACCACGTGAATTCGAAAAGACCAAAAAGTTCAAAGACACCGTAGAAGGGAACAAAAAACTTGGTGAGTAGATGTGCCCCCCATAAAATTTTTATTGAGCAAGATCTAATTAACCATCAAAATAAATTGATTGTCATCAGATGTGAAGGATATTACCAAGCCTCCACTTAATCCAGTTGTCAGCGAAGAGGAAATCACACGTAACATTGAGGCCATTCGTATTAATAAAGGTCGCGGTGTAAAATCTAAGAAAAGTTCCAAGTCATCTTCGATCCCTGCCAACGATCCTTCAGAGTATGTTTCAAAAGAGTTTCTGTGCCACGTTATAACAATACTAACAAACATGTACTCCCTTGGATAGTGATAAAAGACCAACGAGGAAGAAAGCAATGCGAGTTTGGGATGATAAGGTGACCGAAGAGGAAATGAAAAGTCTCGATTACAGCGGACAAAACGGTGGTGCCGATGAGTCGCCCGGGACTATTAATCATCATCTTGTCGACGAAAACCAATTGGGTTATTTCCAAAATGGTCACTACGTGGTACAAGATTTGGGCAATGATGAGGTTGAGGATGAAGACGAAGAGGATGAATTGGAAGAAACGAATGGCACCACAAAAAAAGATGACGCTGGAGGGTCGAGCATGTTTTCGTTTTTCAAAAACGTTATAGGTCAAAAAGAGATCACTGAACAGAACCTTGCACCAGTATTGGCACAAATGAAGGAGCATTTGATTAAAAAGAATGTTGCCGCTGATATTGCAACACATTTGTGTGATTCGGTGGCTAGGAATCTCGTGGGTCAAAAGACAGGAAATTTTAAAAGTATGTCATTTATGTAATGATAACTTATTTGTATATGCTTTTACATATTCTAACTGGTTGACCTATTGTTAATTGAAAAGCTATTCAATCAACTGTGAAACAATCCATGGAGGTAGCCGCGAAGCGTATCCTGACACCAAAGACATCAGTTGATTTATTGCGGGATATTTCACAGGCACAAGCCGAGTCACGTCCTTACACCATTTGCTTTATAGGAGTTAATGGAGTTGGAAAAGTGAGCCTCAATTTATTTTTTCTTATCGATTTCTTTTTTTTTTTTTTGGCACTACCGCCAGCTGACGAATGTATGTATTCTTTACGTTGCTGCCTAAAGTCCACAAACTTGTCAAAAACATGTTTCTGGTTGTTGCAAAACGGTTTAAAGGTTCTCATTGCTGCGTGCGACACCTTCAGATCAGGTGCTGTGGAACAATTAAGGGTACATGTTCGAAATTTAAATGCATTGGGGCAAAATTCCACCGTCGAATTATATGAACGTGGTTACGGAAAGGACGCTGCTGGTATTGCCAAAGATGCGATCAATTACGGTGACTACTTTTTTCGATTGATTGGGTTTAAATCGTCGTTATTTTACAAGTAATTTAATGCAAAATGGTTTTTTTAAATAGGCAAAGTAAACAGGTTCGATGTTGTGTTGATTGACACAGCCGGTCGCATGCAAGACAACGAACCGCTTATGCGGGCGTTAGCCAAAGTAAATTTCATGCATTCATTTTTTAATATTACATTATTTCATTTTTGGCGATGTATAATAACAACACCTTCTATTGACGCATCCATTAGTTGGTTTCAGTAAACAATCCGGACAAAATAATATTTGTTGGAGAAGCTTTAGTGGGCAACGAAGCAGTTGACCAACTCACGAAATTCAATCAGGCTTTGAAGGATTTTTCGGGGTTGCAGAACCCAAGGCATATTGATGGAATCATACTGACAAAATTTGATACAATTGATGACAAGGTATTGTCATTATTGTTCTTTTGGTCTAAATTTAGATAGATCAACTCTGACAAAATATTAACCATTCTCCACTATGGATTGATAGGTGGGAGCTGCTTTGTCGATGGCCTACATAACAGGGCAACCAATACTGTTCGTGGGAACCGGACAAACTTATACAGATCTAAAAACTATGAGAGTTAGCCATGTCGTACAAGCACTTCTCAAAGAATAATTTCCTATAAGGACAAGCGGACTGTGGATGACTTAAGCGGCTTACTAATCTTTATTTCTGATTTAATAATTAACGTAATCTTTCTCCTCTTTAGACTATCAAACTAACGTCTATTTGATATAGTTATCTATTTGTGTCAACATATTAATGCATATTGGGGAATTCTTCCCACATACTACATAGAACTTATATATTCTAATTTATAATTATGGACGATCAGCACTGCGTATTGAGGGATACGTGTTAGGGTGCTCTGCTTTCCGTTCTTTAAATAAATATCTTTCCAAAAATCTCAACTTTACGTTAACTTACGAGACTTCGTATGTGGCTTCTCATTACTAATTTATATCTGATAATTCTAATAGGTCAATTTTTTTTTTTAATTTGCTTAATTGTAAATATGTGTATATTGTAATATTGAAGTTATTGTTTAAAAAATATATAACATTAAAAGCAGACAGTTATACAAGGGATCTTGCCTTGGATACTTGACAATTAATACTAAAATATAATAATAATATAATTGTTTTGTCTTATTTTGCTCTCAAAATAAAATGTAAAAAATTATAAACAATTTACTGTATTTCTATTAAAAGAATAACAGAAAGATTATATCTTATTGATTTTGATTATTAAATCTTAATTATAAAAAAAGTAACTTATAGATCAATTTTAATTAAAATTTTAAGATTAAGTAAATAGAATAATTAAAATTTTCTTAAATTAATTAAATTTTTTACTGATTTTATATTTGATATTTCTATAATAGTATAATTAGATTAGAAATACTGTAAATCTGATTAAAAAATTAATACTAATATATAAAAAGAATGTTTATATAAAAGTTTTTTTGATTTTTTGGTTTTATCAAAAAATTTAATTTTTAATAATCAAAAAGAACCAAGTAATATTTTTACTATCAATAATAAGAAAGTTCTTAAATAAAAAAGAATTGATTATAAAATAATTAAAGATTTTTTTATCTTTAATATAAATTATTATACAAATTTTTTATAAAAAAAAAATATTATTTTTTTTTTTTATTAATTGTCTTTTTTATAACTTTTATTTTTATGGATTTTTAAAAAATTGGGTTAATTTTAATTTAATTTTAAATTTTTAAATAATATTGTGGAATTGTGAAATAAAAGCTTAGCCTTGTTTATTAATATTGATAAAATAATTTACAAATTTAATTGTAAAGATTACGTATTTCTATTATTTAATATTACAAATATTCCTAAAACTCTACTTTTAAAAAATCCATTAAATAACTTGTTATTCAAAAGTATTCAATCAAATTAAATTTCTACTACTACCTATTAGTATTTATAATTTTGATTTGAATCCAATTGATTCATGAATTGAATATGAATCAGATCAAATCAAATTTCAAAATTTTTAATCTAATTGAATTTGGATTAAATTGAATTTTAAATTTACAAAATTATTAGATTCAAATTAAATTCGGATCAATCCACACAAATTGTTATATAATTATTTAATTTCATTTAAATCAAACTTTCTAGGAAGTTAAAATTTTTTATTTTTTTTTTTTTTTTTTTTTTTTTTTTTTTTAAATCGGCTCAACCTTCGGTTGGCTTTTATTAACTTTAAATTTGATATTACATATGTATTATCTACTTTAGAGCTAACTACAAATTAGTAACGATACTAGCATGTACTGTATATTAAAATTTGTATATAAAGATTCCTCCTGATTCAGGTCTCCTATGAGGATCTTCGTAGTCTATTGCCTTCCATATAGGGAACTAACTTGCCTGGGCCTAGCTAGTAAATGTATTTCTTATAGTTGTTACCAAGGAAGTGTAACTAAAAAAAGAAAGGGGCTGCCAGATGATGACCTAAAAATTTTCTCTTCTACTGACCATCCACTGAGAATTTTACTGTGAAAAGAGCCAATATCTACAAATTATCCACCAGAGTGTGGTGTCTAAATCTTCGAAAAGGAGAGAGGGAGGAGTTGTCTTTCTTGAGAGGGGCGGGGAATGGTTTCAGAACTTCATATTCTACCTAGGGGATTACTCATTCAAAGAATCAGGTGGGACCTATGACTAGGGATTTCAATTTTTATCCGAATCTGAATGATCCGTGGATTTGATCTGAACGAATCAGATCAGATTTTAAATTTTTTGATCCATTTGTATACGAATCGGATACAGATTTCAAATTTTGAAATTTGATCCGATTAGATTTCAAATTTTGTATCCAATCAGATTTTAAGTTTTAAAACCTAGCCAGGTTAAATAAAAATCAGTAGTTTAAATGTAACTATTTAAGGTAATTAAAAAAAAATCCACTGGTTTTTTTTTTTATATTCCTTTAACACCTTTACATGTTTCTTTAAAATTTTGTGATATTTTTTATGATATTTTT